ATGTTTAGCAAAGTAAGAACTGGTTTAGGAAGCACCTGAAAAGGAGAGAATGGTCATAAAGCACTGGTTTAAACATAAAGCAAGAGTGGAGATGATGAGCTATAATACCTGTGGGAATGAATCTGGATTTTTACAAACAACACAAAACAACTTGCTCGCATTCAACCCAACCACCCAATAATTCTCACCAGACTTCCTCTCTTTGCTTGAACTGCAAAGAAAAATGCACATTTATTACAAATATATTCGAATTTAAAAGTAATATGCAGTAGTAATTAAGAGCATTGTTCTGCATCCTTAAAGAAGAATATCAAACCTGAAAAGAGGAAGCCAATTGCCACCATATTGGCTTGTGAAAACCCTTAGCACTCCCTGCAAATTTTTTCAAGATTCAATATCCAAAAGAAATGTAGTTGTTATGATAACTTGAAAACAGAGTCCAATAATACTAATAATAACAGAGTTCAGAATACCTTAGAATCATAAGAGCTTAACTGGCCCTCTTCACTAAACCCAAACCATGTTAGATATGAACCAGGAGTCAGTGGAAGACGTCCTTTGAAGGGTTGGGTTCCTTTAGATATGTTGAATATTCTAAACTCTAGCATCTGCATGTTTACATAAAAAGAATCTTATAACATCAAGTGATGAGCTCAAAGAAAGCTTATGACAAATTCACCAAATATTTCTGGTCACCAAGGTCACCGTATCAATTTAGATATTACCATGTTGATACTAGGTGAGTCATTGAGTCATGTACCTTGTAGTACAATTCATAGCAATAGTAACATACCTGCTCATTAGATGGAAGACAATCAGAAACATGGGTGACAACTGCTAGCTCATCCTTGAAGCCTACTGCAGTCACCACGGGCCCATTAAGTGAGAGAATATGTTTCTGCAATAAAGCTCATTAGAGGAAAACAAATAAGCACAGGCATAAACCAAGATTCCTAGTTATTAAGACGATTTACAGCTAGTTTTCTGTTTGTGATCAAAATAATCGCATAACCAATGTAGCATATATTGACCACCACCAGCACACCCTTTTTTTCTTCTATCATTTGACCTATTCATCTATTAGCCAATCCTAGCAATTGCAGACCAACAAAAATTTTGCCACAAGACTTGCCATCAATATTATGGTTAGATATCAACACAAAACACTAAAATCAATGAGTTATCATAAATATGATAATCACAACAAGGAAACATCCACTAAATGTTTGGATTTATGGTGAATCAAATTATGTTTAACCATTGTCCATATCAAGCTTTCCAATCATGCTTTGACTCTTTTTTGTACCCTGAAAATGGACAAAAAGAAGAAAGGGGTAAGAATTGAATTGATCTCTCTTTTTTTCCCGTTTTGTTGGGGCTTTCTTCAAAATATTTCTTGTTATTAACAGAGCATTTTAAGCCAAACTTGAACCACCTAACCAGTTAATCATTACCACCACTGGCCTCACTTATTCAAACGGATCCTTTATATTTGTTAGATATGACATTGCTTGACTTCAGCTATCTTCGATATGAAAATTTAAACCAATTATGCAATGACAATTTCCAAAAACTTACCATCCCCTACAATGGATAATGAAAAGGTTATAATAATTAAATCATCTTAACAAAGCAATCATTTCATGAAGCATAAAATAAACAGTATTAGGTATACAAACCTGCAAACCACCATCAGTAAAGATGCGAAGAAAATTGAGACTCGTAATTGCAGCTACCCAAGTGGCACCAAGTGCAACTGCTCTTACTTCTTCATCTTCAAATCGCATGTACCACTGAGTTCGCAACACGTACCAAAAGTCATCACATTGTGAAACTTCACATCATATGCACCAATGTGAATATATACAAAGATAAGCACATGCATGTCTAAACTGACGCATAAGAGCAAAGCATGAAAACAAATTGTTTTGAGATGTTCAGTACTCTAACCTCACTGTTGTTTGCCCAGCTGCTGAATGGTCGATACATGAGAGTGCTCATGCCCTTCTCGCCCTTACAAGGATTTGCAAAAACACTTCCATTTTCATTTAGTGAAGCCATTGTGAAACCATAATGATCAGTCATTGGTGGAACTCGTGGACCTGTGCTCGTATCATGAAAATCTATCTGCATCAGACATGCATTTAATATCAGCACACGATGGAGGAAAAGCCATGCGTTTCTTTTAATGCTTGCAAACCCAAATTATAATAAAACCACAATTGATGACTAATCGTTCATCCACAAACCACTTCTCAGACAAAAGAAAAAGAAAGGACATAAGGAAGGAAAGAAGGATTGAACTAAACAGCAGGCAGAAATACCTCTATATGGGAATATTCATCATGTTTGATTGTAGTTATACTTCCAAGCATGTTGTAGCACAAGAAATGCCTTTTTCCAGGCTGTGGTGGAGTGGAACCTGGCTGAAAAGCCTCCTGCATTTTTGGCCTAAATGCCATCATGCTTCTCAATCCATCTTTTTGTTTATCTGAATTTTCCTTGTCACCACGATGCACTTTTTTTCGGGATTCAGTTTTTGGGAAGCTTAACTCATCATAAACATCTTCATGCTGATCATCATCAATTGCCGACTGTTTCCGCAATCTTTTTCTGCTAGGAGGCTCAGACTCACCATGGTTATCCTCACCAAGATCACTTAAACTACCTGACATGCTAAGCTCCTGATCCTCCTCATCAAAAAAGAGGAGGCCGTTATTGTTCTTTGATCTGGAACTTGGAATGTCTTCTGTAGGAGACTTCATTGAGAAAGGAACAACTGATTCCCACAGCCCATACTTTCCCATTACATCAATGACAGCAAGTGCATTTCCAATTGGCTTCCATGCCATGGAACATATTCTGTCATCAAATTTCTGCCTGTCAATATCCTGCTTCCGGTTAACATCCCATATCAGAACTTGCTTATCCAAACTAGAAGTAGCCATGTATTTCCCATTAGGTGACCAAGACAAGAAACATATAGGCTGCGTGTGATCGCCTCTCAAGGTAAACAGTTTTTCTGCAGTGTCCCTATCATACATCACAACGTCATTTTTCAAACCAGGGACAGCTAAAGTCTCCCCATCAGGACTCCAGCTAAGTGCATTTAAAGTGGAAGTATCTGAGCCAATATCAGGAGCTACACCTTTGAGGGTATATAATGTTCTTCCAGACTGGAGTTCCCAATATATGACAGTTCCAATTGAATCAATTGATGCTAAGTATTCTCCATTAGGATCAAAAGCTAAACCTGTGACAGGTCCTCTGTGTCCTTTAAGAACCCTTGAAATTGAACCATCTATTGTATTAATAAGTTTAATGCCCTCATCATCACCAGCAGCTGCTAGCATGCTCCCTGATTTGTTAAAGGCAAGCGCACGAATTGGCAGTGTGAACCTGGTGATATTAGTCTCAAACTCTCCGCCTGACAAAAAGGATCATTAGATTTTAATCAAACCAGATCAACCACAGAACAGCCATGAATGAAACAGCAAAATAATTATAAGTGATGACGAAAAGGATAAATATCAAAATGCAAAAGGCAATATGCAAATCCCATAATGATTTCAACTTTTTCAGATATTATCAACCAAATTTTACCAATTAAGCAAAGCATTTCTTAGTTCTAACAAATAACCAGATATAAAGAGAACAAGAAAAGGCTACCCATCTCAAGAAAAGAAACACCCACACAGTTACAGAGAAAGAAACGAATTACCTGGGAATTTATAGAGCTTAACGGAATGATCAATAGATCCAGAGGCAAGACAGGTAGAATTGGGGCTAAGCGCCAGGGCAGTGACGCCATCCCGGTGGTGGCGAAGTACCCGTGTCGGATTCGAAGGAAGAAGAGGATCGTGAATCGAAATAGAGGGTTCAGATGATGAAGCAGTCACCAAGTGGTGGGCGTGGAGGTCCCATGAGATGGAGCAGAACGAGGCATTGGAACTTCCCTTGTGTGCTTCCCTTAGCTTCACTGATTTGATTTTCATGGCGGAGGCTATGGGGGCTCGAAATGAAGGGTATTGACGTGATTTCTTTGAATTTTTGCTTTTATCAGGTCAAGTTGATCTGGTTTTGGCTTCGGTTGTTCTCTTGGCGGGAAATTGAAGCCTTGAATTTTGGATTTCGCGGGTGGCAACCGGGAAAATTGAGGAAGGAAAGAAACCGGTTAACTTCGTATGGGGCCTACGGGCCTTTTACTTTTCATTGGGTTCAGCATTATGTCTTCCTTAGCCCAACAACTAATCTTTGTTCCCAAAGTCAGGCCTCTAAAAAATCTTTGGGTTCAGCCCACGATTCGGCACTTATCAGCCCTTTTGTTTGCTTCAATAGGCTCGAGTCATGCATCAATCATCGAACTAAATGTTCAGATAATTTTTAATAATCAATGTGATTGGCTTGGATTAAATAAACTAGTTAACATAAAAGTTGACGAATCATTTGACTTAAATTTCAAATTTTATTCCTCAGCATTATTATCATATCTTATAATATATTTAATCAATGGTTGAGATATCCATGGCACGATAAGTTGATAACTAATTTTTTTTTGTTTTCACGAGCACCCCTACTTACTATTAGCTTTGAATCTGTCACTAGGAAGAAAGTAGTGAAGTAACCGAGCATACCACTACTGTCAGCAATAGATTGCTCAATTCAAATATAAGATTTGATTTGTTCATGCAATCATTTTTAAGATGTAAAAATAAAAAAAATATACAATTCTTGATCTAATTGAAAGATAGCTAAGTTCCATGTGACCATGTTCGTTACTGCAAAGGCAGACCAAATTTTCAAACTACGTGAATTCCAAATTCCCCAAACTACATGAATTTAGAATCCATAAATTTGAAAGTTCCTTTTACAAATTATGGTACTTAGATTTATAACTACGTAAATGCTCTTCATCTTAATTATTAAATACTACTTAACATTATCTCATCATCCAGCATTATCATGTCAACATGATTAGAGACAAATAATTTAATGATTAAAAAATATTTATTCAAAAGTTTAGGTGTTAAATTAAAATTTTAGTAGTTTAATGATCAATTTAAAAATATGACATTCATGAGTGACTTGCAGCGTAATTTACCCTAAAATAAAATCAACGCAGGAAGATCCTATGATTGGGTATCGCTTCTTCTCAACGCTCTAGCCATGTCGAACACCGCTGAAGCACATATCCTGGTCTACCCGTTTCCAACGTCGGGCCACATCCTCCCATTCCTTGACCTTACTCACCGGTTACTCACCCGCGGCCTAACGATCACCGTATTGGTCACCCCCAACAATCTCCATCTCCTAGATCCGCTCCTGTCACGCCACGCGCCCTCTTCTCTCCAACCATTGATTCTTCCCGCCCTCGACCCTTCAACAACACCCGGCCTCCTTGCCATAATGCATCGCTTACGTGAGCTTCACTATCCTGCGCTACTCCAGTGGTTTCGGTCCCAAGCTTCTCCTCCTGTTGCTATTTTCTCCGATTTCTTCCTTGGTTGGACGCAGAGTCTCGCTTCTGAGTTAGGAGTCCGACGTATCGTCTTCTCGCCCACCGGCTCCTTCAGCTTCTCCATGAGCATTTCGATGTGCCGCGAACCACCGAGGATCGATGATCCCGAGGACGTAAATCATACGTTGTCGTTTCCCAGAATCCCTAATTCTCCAAAATACCCCTTGTATCAAATCACCCGTCTTTACAGATTCTACAAAGAATGGGACCCAGAAAAGGAATTTTATAGAAACAACTGGTTTGAGAATCTTGAAAGCTGGGGAGTCGTGTTCAATACCTTTTCTGACTTAGAGAGCATTTACATTGACCACATGAAGAAAGAGATGGGCCATGATCGGGTTTGGGCGGTTGGGCCCGTAATGATGCCGGTCGAAGATGATGCGTTGGACCCAACGAAGCGCGGTGGTTCCAGTTCGGTTCCATGTCATGAGTTGATGGCGTGGCTGGATGCGCGCGAAGACCATTCGGTGATCTACGTGTGCTTTGGGAGTCGCATGGTGCTGACACGTAAGCAAACCGATGAGCTGGCGGAGGGGCTCGAGCAAAGCGGGGTCCATTTCGTTTGGTGCGTGAGGGAACCCATGGACTGGCAAGCCTCAGGCGATCACGGCGTGATTCCGGTGGGATTTGAGGATCGCGTGGCGGGGAAGGGCTTCTTAATCAAAGGGTGGGCCCCGCAGGTGGCGATTCTTAGGCACCGATCTGTGGGCGCGTTTTTGACTCACTGCGGCTGGAATTCAACACTGGAAGGGATCACAGCGGGGGTGGTTATGCTGACATGGCCAATGGGTGCGGACCAATTTACCAATGCCAAGTTATTGGTTGATCAATGGGGGGTTGGGATCCGAGTGGGTGAGTCGACTCAGAATATTCCCGAATCAAGCAAGTTGGCTCGCGTGTTGGTTGAGTCACTGGATGGGACCAGACCAGAGAGGGTTCGAGCAAGGAGGCTGAGTGAATCGGCCTTGGGTGCAGTTAAAGGAGGAAGCTCAGACAAAGATTTGGATTCGTTGGTTAAAGCGGTTAGTGAACTAAAAGCGAAATAGGGGAGCAATGTAATAATAACCACAAGTTTCTGACTATTTGTGTAATTGTGTTGTGAATGAACATTATTCCATTCATTCCAACATGTCTGAATCGTGTTTGTTTGAATATATTTGAATCGGGTTTCCTTTGGACCGAACACACGTAAAATATAAAATTTATCATATTATAATTTTAATCAATACATCAGATACTTATCAAATATGCAATATATTTTTAATTTTTTGCTTAAGGATGTCAACGAAGCAATACTTTTAAAAAAAAATTATATGTATAAATATTCGATTATTTAAATTTTTTATCAAAATATAAAATAAACAAAAATTAAATTTAAAATTCAAGTTTGTTATAATTAATAAAAAATAAAAATTATTTATTAAGGTTCAAAACTTTTCACAAGTATAAAATTTTATATATTTTACATATCTAAAATCTGATAATTATATGTTTATAACTATCCAAATCCGACATATACAAATAGAATAATAACATATATTTATTTATTTATTATCTAATATCATTCCTATTTTTCTAAACTTATATACTATTTTTATCAAAATTTTAAATTATTTCATTTTTATTTTTTTACGTATCGTTTAGGTATCATTGTATTGTATCTTAATTGTAGGCAATAAACAACTTTGTATTATAATCATCAAGGTCACAAATTTATGAACTTTAAAAGAGATAAAAGAAATTGACAGATCAATGCTTAATTTTTAATCATTAAAGCAGGAAAACTACTTGCTATCTCAACAATTATAATGATAAATCATCAATCATTATATTATCATCCACAAGACTGGTTTCCTCTTAAAGTGTCAAAATTGGCAAATTTTTTATAATCTCATGGCTCAAAAACTTTGGCTGAGACAGGGGAATGTAGAGTAGTAATGGCTTAGCTTACCCTGGCATCTTGATATTCTTTTTGTCAATCAACTCCCAAAATTCAACTCCAAGATAAAATGTAGGCCTTCTTGCAAAAACCGATGCATCAGACATCATCTATGTTTTTACCCCCAAAAAAATAAAAGAAAACCCATCCATGGAAATTGGAAACATGTCCAATGCAATGATTATCAATTAATCTAAAGCATAGACTTGTTTCAAATGAACAAGGGGAGATCATCCACCCAACAATGTTCAGCATGAATACCACAAGCTCGATGTGAACAAAAGAGACTCCAATTTCCTTGGTATCGACATCAAGCCTACTCTTTATTTGTGGTTTCAGATGAGCTCTTCTTCATGTCGTGATCTACAGCTTGCGAAAAAGACTTTAATTGAACTTCAAACAATGCTCCAAACTCCACCATAAAATAGTCCCCAATCCAGAAAATGTCAGGCCAGGTTAATTTGGAGTGTCCCGAAAAACATGTTCGGCAACACAGGCTTCCACGTACAGGAAGCATATCCTAAATCACTACTTAAAACAAGCTCAAACGAGGCAATCTTTTTTTCCAACTTAGATTCTATAAAACACTAGCCAATTCCATGTCCTTTATCACTGAATCTAATCTCTGAGAAAGCCCAGCTCTTCGAAACCCTGCAACCAACAAATCATAAGTTGATTTCGTGAGCTTATGAGAACCCTTAATATGTTCCAAAAATAAATCTAGCCTATCATAAGCTTCTTCCCTGAAGTAACAGCAAATAACCCTCTCAACATCATCAGTGCATCTGAATGACAACCCTTGTTTCGACATCCTACCCACAGAGTATTCCACATCATCCAATCTATTTAATGCGGCATACATCCTTATAATCCCAGAGTTTACCTGTGACAATACTGCAGCAACTTGACCGGACTCCACTACAGTTGAAAGTAGCTCCTCCATTTCATCAACCTTCCCATGTTTAGAATACAAACCCACAATCTTCTCGGCCATCTTTACACTAATTTCCTGCCCAACTTCCAAAAAAGATTTCAAGAACTCTTTAACTTGACCAAACCTTCTCCGCCTACAAAACCCTTCCAGCATATTCTCCAATATGGACTCACTAGGCATTATACCTGTCAACATTATTTCCTCATAGAATTTGTCAGCACCATCGAAGTCTCTAGATTTAATACAACCAGAAATGAGAGATTCATATGTTTGAAGCGTAGCACAATAACCTGCAGCTTTTTTTGCTGAATACCAACTTTTCATGGCAACAGCATTTCCCAAACTTGAAAACCCAATTATGAAAGTTTCATAAGTCTCAGCATTTGGTTTATAGCCCTCCGAACTCTCCATTATCTCAAATAAGCTGAATGCTGTTATCAGGTCATTCGAGGACAAGCAAGCATGTATAAGGGAATTGAAAACAGAAGTCGTGGGTTTAATTCCATGAACCTCCATTGAAGTGAACACATGCATCACAAGTGAAACATTTCGAATCTTTGCACAAAGAGACATCAAATTCAAATATTGATCATAATCTCTCTCATTTTCCTTCAACATTTTCTCTAATTTCCATTCCAATACCTGAAAAATCAAATAGTAACCTAAATTAAATAAAGGTAAAATCACATTAATTCAATAAATTAAGCCATTGTTTAACTTGGGTATGGTTTGAAAATCGAAGTTAAAAACGTGATATAAGTGGTTTTGCAACGTAAATGTTTGGCATTTGCAATGGTAAAATTACCATAACAGGATAAAATGTCCAAAAAAAGACATGCTGACGAGATAAAGAAAATATAACTAAAATTCAAACAAAGTTAAAGAAAATATAACTAAAATTCAAACAAAGGTACCTTACAATTATTACTTCAAAAGATCAAATTCATTGGCAAAAGCAAGTGGCAACATGCTTTTGTTTGAGTGTAAGAACAAACTCATTGGAATCAAAGATTTTTTTAACATAAGTTTCACTGCCTATGACACTGAATTTGTACTTTGCAGTCAAACATCAAATGCTGTCCACCACTCACTTCCATAAGATTACTAAATCCAGAAGGTCATGGGTTCGAGTCGTGGAAACAGCCTGTCTGCAAAAAAATGCAGAAGGAAGGCTGCGTACTATGGACCCTCCCCCAACCCTCGCAAGGCGGGGAGCTTGTGCACCAGGTTTTCCTTTTTAATCAAATATCAAATGCTAGCCAAATGGGGCCTAACAATGGCATAAAATAAAGCAATCAAATTCATTTTGTAGCATTCAAAACCCTAAATTTCAAAAATTTTGATTCCACGGGAATCAATAAAGCCCTGATATATGGTTCACTAGAGCAAAATTCTAGACATAAAAGAAAGATACAAATCTTCAATTACTTGAGTTCTTCCATTCCATTAATGCCCAAAATCTTAGCAGCCAAACAAGGCATTGCCAAAATTCGATACAATTAAAAAACTTAGAAGACAAATCAGTTTCACGGTTTTACCAGCTGAGCCTTCTCGGATGACAAAGATGGGAGACCGGCGACGAGGGCATCCCAGGAAAATTCAGAATTTTTTAGGGCAAATCGGTCATGTGAATTAAGGGTAGTCTTGATTGATGAGCGGGGCACCTGAAGCAGCTTCTTGAGAAGATGATTGGAAGACGATGATGGCTCGTCACTGAACAAACGTTGAGATTTAAAAGGGAGTAGCACCATTTGAGTGCTTAAACCTCTTCTAGCTACTGATAACAAAACCTTGGTAACCAACGCCATTTCTTCCTTCTACTCGGAAAATTTTTTCTCGGCAATTTGGTTTTGTTTTGGCAGAGCGATGCAAATGGCAAATAATGAGGGTTTGGTTGCAGGTTCAACTCCCTATCAATCAAAGATAAATTTCATAAATATAACCTATGGTTAATGTTGAAATAAAAATATTCTTAAAGCTTTAAACGTGATATTTAACCAATTTGCAATTTTTTATTTTTTTTTCGACTAATTTATATTTTTAAAAAAATTTATTTTTTATTTTCAAAATCAAACAAATTCTCCCTTCAAACTCAAACAAATCCACAAACAACATTTAAATAACTAAAATTTTTACACTATTATCATCATTACAAATTAACATCACTACCGAACTTCATTCTTATCTCATTCTCTCTCTAAAAATTCATATTCTCTTTCAAAAATCATCAAATCTTACTCTAAATGTTCTTCTTCGAAAATAAACCTCTAAACCAATACTCAAATCTTATAATATAATGAATCTTATTGTCACTGCTACTTTACTATCGTACATTGACATTGACAAACTCATGAAATACCTTTTTTTACTTAGTAGTCGTTCAATTATTTTAGTGTTTATCTCCTCTTTTCAATACTCGAAGAAAATCAAAGATCTTTAATTTGATTGCTTTTTTGGGTTACTTATTTTGTAGGCTATTGAATATGATTTTATTTGATTTGTTATTGGTTTTAGTTGTATAATTAATTGTTTGGTAATGGTCAGGCTAATAAGTTATTATTGGATTTGGTGATAACTATCTAATCTGATGGTAATATGAATTTGTAATGGTGATGATGGTGTGAAGATTTTGATGATCGAAAAATATTATTTGTGGATTAGTTTGAGTTTAAAAGGAAAATTTGTTTGATTTTAGAAAAAAAATTAATTTTTAGAAAGAGTAGAAATTTTTAGAGAAAAAATATGAAATCAAATAAAAAAATCAAAAAATCAAAAAAACAACGATTTTAAGTAAAAAAATAATAAATCAAATCATAAAATATTTAAGTGTCACGTTTTAAATTTCAGAGGTATTTTCATTATGATCTTAACCATATAATATATTTTTAAAGTTAATCCAAATAAAAATGATGAATAAATAAAATATTTATAAAAATTATTTTTAGTTGTTGGTTATTCATGTTATAAATATACCTATTTAACATTCGGGCTATCTATCAAATCCAAATATTCGTCCAAATTTAAGATGATTTAAATAAAATATTAAAATAAATTAAATAAATTAAGACACAAATTTTACATTTATTTAAATCTCAAGTTTAATTTTGGAAAAAAAAATTAAAACACGAACATGACCTAACCAAGTTCCAATAAAACATATAATTAAAATATTATAATTATATAAATATTTATTTTTTATTTTTTATTTTAAAATAATTAATTTTTTATTATATAAATAAAATTTAATAAATGATTTTAGAATTTCTTTTTTTTAATGTTAATCAAATTTGAAAAAAATTTTAAACATGAAATATCAAATTGAATCGAATCAAATTTAAATAAATAAATAAATTATTAATATCAAATATAAATTCGACTTAAATTGATTGGATTTATGAATACCTCTAATTATAAATTATATATTGTAATTTTTATGTTTTTATAAGATTTAAGAGTTTTTAAAGGTATTATAAGTTTAGAAATATTTTTTCGTCAAATTTTTATAATATTTGTTACTTGCAATTTTATAATATTTATTTACAATTATTGATAGTTTTATCATTTTTTAATAATTTTCTTTTTTGATAATAAAAAAAAACAAAATTATTTTTAAAAACTCTTGATTTTCAGTCTATCATGTTACTTTAATAACGTTTTTCGTATTCAAAAATTTTTTAAATACCTTTAAAAACCATTTATTGGGCATTTTAATATATATATATATATAGATATGTGTATCCCTAAAATATCCTTACAAACTTTTTTTACTGTCTATATTTTTGCATATCAGAATTCGATGGAATGAGTTACCCAACGAGTTTCGGACAATACCCCATACAAGTAGGGATTTCTTCATAGTTAAGTGAGTTGTGATGAGTGAACGCGAGGAAACGAGACGGGGGGTGAGTCAGGAACAAAAAATGGCAGGTGACTCACCAGCCGACTCGCCATCTCCTTCCCCAAACAAACGTCTCAAAATCACAACCCCTAATTCGAAATCAATCATCCAAGACGAACCTAGTAATCATCATCAAGAACAACAATCAGCGGACGGTGATGATTCAGATACCGAGAGATGCGGAATATGCTTATCGGACGGTGGAAGAAGAGCAATCAGAGGCAAGATCGACAGCTGCGGTCATTTTTTCTGCTTTGTTTGTATCATGGAATGGGCCAAGGTGGAGTCGCGTTGCCCTATGTGCAAGCGCAGGTTCACCTCCATTCATAGAACTCCGAAGGAAGGTGTCTTTGCTTCCGAACGGATCGTTAACGTCCCTCAACGAGATCAGGTCACTTATCTTTTTTCGTTTCCTAGTTTAATTGTTTTTTAATGGCAAAAGGGTAAAAAAAAAAACCTCTGACTTAAAATTCAATAATCATTATTTTTTTTTCAATCAATTAAACCCTCAAACATCTACTTTCATCAATTGAGCCCTTATTAGAGGAAAAATGGTTAACTGTTTCTGTCCAAATATGAGTGAAATTAGATGTTTAAGGGTTCAATTGATTCCAAATAGAAAATTCAAGACTTGATTGATTGCAATAAAATGTGAGGGGCTTAAATGATTATTGAATTTTTGTTTGAGGTCTTTTTTGACCCCTATGCCTTATTTAATTAATTTTGGCTTGCTCTGCTAATTTGAGCTTTAATTTTTATGTTTTTAGAAATTTAATATTGTAATTACACGCGAGGGATATATTAGGAGGATAGCTGACATTTGGGCTTTAGTTTTTTTTCCCTGAATCAGTAGAAATTACAATCACATAGGCTTCAAGAAAGAAACAAATCAACAATCAACAAGCCAACATATAGTTAATTGGACTAAACACACACACGGAATGGGATTTGAACCTATGGCCTAAAAGTCCGGGGCTTCTTCGTTGCCAATGAGATAAGGCTTCATTGGTGTTTTTTTTTTTTAAATTGTTCTTTGTTCTGCGAAATTCTGCTTTGGTGTTTCTTTTATTTTTGAGGTTGTTGATAAGAAATGTCTTAAAGTAACTTTTTTTTTAGTTGAGCAGTTCTTAGACTTTGCCCAGAAGACCCCTTCCTCGGGCCGGTTTAAGTAGGGTTATTTACATCGGCCTAATGAATTCATGAGAAACTACCTTTGAACTCAGGCAACTAAGAGAGGAGCAAACTCTCTTTGCCACTTGAGCCAACATCTATTGGTCTTAAGGGCACTTGTTAAGATTACTATTTGAGTAACTCTTCAGTTTATGTGTTCACAATTACTATATCAATAATTAACTATTGCATTTCATAAAAAATTTACCATTTTAAAACATTTCATGATGGTATCATTTTCATTAATGTCCTCTTGTCATTTTAAAGTTAAATTGAATTTTCTCATTGTTAATTTATGCTACAAGTAACAATCCTCTTCCCCAGTGGAGTTTCAGTGGGAGCACTACTATCCTTTCCTATTTTTACCTTTCAGCATATGAAATTTTTTTGGTCAAAAACTTAAAAGCACTTGATGTTTCTTTGTTGTTTTTTCCTCATCTTTCTTTTCCTAACATAGATAAATTGATTTGAACATGTATATTTTCTGCATTACAATTTATAAATCTTGTCTAGGCTTGAAAATTGTCATGGTGAAATCACTCTGTGTCTGCGTTGTTTATTGAATCTGGAGATAGCATAATTGTAACTTTATTTCCACACTCTTATAATTAGTCCTATAACACATAAGCCGTGCTTTTAATTAAAAAAAAGGCACGTATGCTGCATTATATCTTTATGCCAGGCAACTTGATACCTGGAAATTGGAATATATTGGGTATATCATTCAGTCGAGATATATTTTGTTTGCCACAGCTACAGATGAAGTGCAAAAATGCCACCACCCAAGTTAGCCTATTTTTAGTTAGAAATCGGGTTTATTAACTTTATTTTGTCTGTTAAAGAGGTGAAATGCATTCGATACATAGATTTTGACATATACTGATATCTGTTACCTTTTCAGGTTTACCATCTCTTTGGAAATGCGACATCTGAGCCATTTGATCCTTATGCAGAAGTTAAATGTAGTGTGTGCCATGATATAGCTAATGAAAGCCTTCTACTACTTTGTGATCTCTGTGATTCAGCTGCTCATACTTATTGTGTTGGATTGGGTGCAACTGTACCTGATGGTGACTGGTTTTGTCATGACTGTGCTCTTTCCAGGTCTGAACATGAAAAAACTGAGGTTGATATTGACACTGATGATCAAATGATCTCTGCAAACTCTAATGTAAAATTATCAGCGAAGACAAATTTTTCAATTTTTGATATTGTTCAAGAATCAAATATCCCAGGATTAGCAGGACATAATGTAAGTGTGTCTTCATTTCCTAATGATTTGCCACCTGCTATCGTCCCTGGATTTGAAAGCAGTGGTGAAGATGAAGTAAGTCGTCCAAGTGAAAGAAGTAGGAATACTGTGGGTAATTCAACTGAATCGGGTGCGAGAACATTGCGTCTTTGTCGCAATGTCCACAGCCGCATACGAGCCCTTCGCGAAAATTGGCATGCACTGCAAAGTAGATCATTAAGTTTCTCTTCTAATATGGTTGAATCTGGTGGTGGAAGTTGTAGAAAAGGTAAGTTCACTGCAGTATTTAATTGTAGATCAAGTGAATCACAATCATCCTCTTCCACAAGTAAACAATCTACTTCTCAAGACAGTTTTGTTGAGCCTAAGGGAGACTTGTATGATATTGGCAAGGCATGGAAAATGATGAATATTGCAAAGTCAATGCAAAAGAATTGTAAGAGGACTAGTAGTCTTAGCCAGACCTCAACAAAACTCTCTTGCCTTGGAAATACTTCAAAAGAGGCAATTGGCAGTTCAGGTCTTCATATATCTAAAATTCAGCGAAATGAAACTAGGAATGAGCAAAGAACAGGCAAAGAGAAGTCTTACATGTATTATTGTCATGAAAGGGAAAAGGAAAAGCACGAATCTCCAGAGGCTGAAAAGCAGAAGAGGAAGGTTATGAATATAGAATCCAGTGAGGGAGTTCTTACTTCTCATTCACCTCGTTTTTTTCAAACTCCATCATCTACAAAGGTCCATATTGAAAATGGCTATCATGTAAAAGATGTGGGGCCATTTGTGAAAAATGCACAAAATAGATGTCCAGAATCATCACCTAATGTAAACACAGAGGGCCAACCTTCTTGTTCAACTAGTTTGGTTGATTCAATTCTAGGAGGATCTGCTGATTCATTGGATTCCAACTTGGAGGTGGGTGTATCTAAGTTAAATATACCTGAGGCGAGAACCAGGTTGGAGAAGAATTGTTCCAAAAGCAAGGATAGAAAAGATGATAATGTCAAAAGTGAGATCCAATCCCTTGTTAAACTCAATTTGAAGCTCCTAAGCCAAGACAAAAAATTAGGTATGATCACTATAATTGAACTTTTTTTAAAAAAAAAAACAAATGCATAATTGAACTATATTATCTAAGGGTGTTATTCTAACATATGTCTTAAGAACACTTGCTAAATACTATGACAAATGTCATGAAATAATAATTGATTAAAGGAAAAACACTACATTCAAGGTAAACCAGTGCATTAAATGCAATAGTATTTCCTAAATGCAAATGCATATCTGATTGAGACTGGAAATATTAGACCTTGTAGTTGAGTGATGTTGAGATCTATTACCATCCTGAATTAGAAGCATTTTAGTTTCCATCAAGTGTTCAGCTTTTTTTTCTGTCTTCAATTGCCAAAGGACTTGCACTATTAGGTTTGTGGAAGATCCTTTGGGAAGGCTAGCATGCCAACAAAATTTAATATTATGCGTGTAAGAAAAGCATAGCAAAATGATAGCACCCCAACAATAACGAAGTATGAAAAGAAAAATGAAAAGGTGATGTCCGTGAGGAGTTTATGTGAATGATTTGAAGATTTATCTGAAAAGCCCTCTTCCTTTTTTGTGTTGTTGTCCGGGTTTACGTGTTTGTGTGTATGTAGTTTATTGTGATCTTGGTTTTGTATGGGTTTAGGTATGCCTATAAACATTGGATGTGAAAAATGAATATAATCTTTTTGCATTGCCCTCATAAACTCTAGTTTGCTATGATCTTAGATGTTTTTTGATTTGTGAAACATGACATTTTTTGTCTGCAGGAGTTGATGCATTCAAGGAGATTGCGAGGCTTGCTACCCATACCATCTTGGCAGCATGTGGTTTTCAGCATTCAAAATCCACTATCCACTCTTTTCCGAGGTCAGTATGTAGCCATTCTGAAGATATGAACCTGCGACATAAGTCCACTTTGATGCCAAATTCTTGCCGAGAATGTTTCTATGTTTTCGTAAAGAATGTTGTTTGCTCCATTATGATTGAGAAAGGTCACTGTTGACCCTTATAAGGTTTTACTACCAAGCCGTTAGGAGCACATCACTTACAATAATTGTATTACAATTAATCAATCAGATTTTAGAGTTATATAGAGTCTATCAAAATATTATGTAGAGTCCACTCTGATAAGTGGTGGATCTTTACATATTTATTGATTGTAATTAGACAATTGTAGCTTGTAAGAAACGTAAAATAATAATGCACAAATTTAAGTTGGGGTTATCTTTATTTATCGGTAGGGATGGCAACAGGTTAGGTGAGGCGGATTTTGCTCACCCCAATCTAGCTTTATACTTATAATATTTGAATATAATCTAATCCAATCTTTTTTTTTAGTACTCAAACTCGAATCAATTCAAAAATAATAAAATATTTTTTTTAAGATAAATATAAAATTAAATAAAAAATATAATTAAATAATTAATTAAAAATAATTATATATATATATCGGATCGAGACGAATTTGTTTAAAATTCAATCTTGACTTTGTTTTATAATTATCTAATTTGGCCTGAAATCTGGTTTTTAAAAATAAAAAAATTATCTCTAAAAAGGTTGAATCGAAATTCCTTGGGACAGGTTAGGTTGCTAACCTTAATTATTGCTAAGAGAGTGAGGTTCAATTACTTGAAGAGTTCAGATTTTCACTTCATATACTATCAGTACTCGGTTGAAGATAAGCAGCAGGGCCAAGAGTTCATCGATTGCTTGTCGTAGTTACGTTTTATTATTAGATCTTTAAGAGCTCGGTGAATGAAACCACATGCATGGTGCAGTAGAAATTTTCCCACCACATATTGGTGATTAGATGATTCTATAAATGGCCACTGATGACTTGAAAGTTTGAATGGGAAGCAACGCTTTGGAAAGGAAAGATTCGCTGCTCCATTACTGTCAAATCCCATTATCTCTTTTATTCCAGCTTGTGGCTACACAGTGTTCCCATTGGAAACCAGAAACTGTCCTCTCAACAATTAGGACAAACCAAAAACAAAACGTGATTTAGATTCTTACCGATGTGGGAGTGCCAAGCCTAACTCAAGAATTTTTTATTCTAATTTTATAATTATTTAATAACAGTAAAAAATTATATAAAGATTTATCATTTATAGATGTAAATTTTATTTAAATTTTAATAAAATTTATATAATTTTAAATTATAATTAAATATAATACAATAATCATAAATAATATACTCTTTTTGATTTGTAAGTGGAACATAGACAGGTCTTCGGCTGGGTTACAAGATAAGTCCAAGCTCAAAGGCTGAGACCGCTGAGCTGAGCAGCACTAAAAGCAAGATGGAGATGGGCAGCACAGAAATTTGTAGTAACTGAGGCATCAGAAATGGACCAGCACCAGGAACGAGTGGTCCATCCCCAATCCAGAGTTCGAGACCCCAACCTCAACGTGCTCAAAAAATTGGGTACCCCAGGCCCCAAAAGATGGAATTTATTTTCCCCCAAAAAAGAAAAAAAATAAATAAGGTAACCTGTTCAAGGAATAGGAGGCTTGAGAATCTAATTTTGGCGGCAGTAGAATAGACACTTGTCCTTAAAGAGTGGGGCCACGTTTCATGAACTAAAACCAGCCAAAAGAAAAGCGGCACGTGAGCAATCACGTGAGAAACTCGTCAGCGAGACGTTATTATTATTATTATTATTAGAATTTTTTTTAATCTCTGTGAACTTAATTCATTTAATAAAAATATTATACATTTAAATTCTTTCAAATTTATACTTTTAAGATCTTAATTAAAAATTATAAAATAATTTATATTCGTTAAATTTTGAATTGACAGTATAGGGTACTTCGTTTCATGCTGAGGTATATATAAAAATATTTTTATAATTTATTTAGTTTTATATTTATATATTATATTATTAATTATTTTTTAATATTTTAATTTAAAATTTTAACTTTAATAAATATTATATTTATATATAATTTATAATAAAAATATTATTTTTATAAAAATTATTTAATTAATTTTGAATCAAATAAATTCAATTGTGAATTATCTGCATATTATATAAGTTCAATTTAAGTCAAATATATTTTGAGTAAACTCAACATACATTTTTTGTGGTTTCGGCTTTGTTACTTATATTTTTTGTGAAAATTTTTTTTCACTTATAAATTTTATGAGTCATTTTCGTTGTCAAAAGGGACAACAATATTAAAAATCAATCATATTTTAATAAAATTATAAAATTATTTTCTCTTAATTTTTATATTATTACATTTTTTATAATAAAAGTGAATCATAAAATTATAAATAAAAAATTTCACACAAAATATAAGTAAAAAAAAATTATAAACCACATGAACGTACATAATATTTACCCAAAATAATAATTTAATATCGAATCCGAACAAAATTAAATGAAATTATTATTAAAGAATCAGATAGAAATTATGTAAATCCGTTCGAAATTGCCCCATTACCATCTTTAAACCTTATAAATATGCATATTATTTGAACTGATATTAAATTAGCAAAATTTTGTTCCTTTTTCTTTCCAAAGCTTAAGTAAAATTTTTATTTATTTTATTATATGATGAGAGAAAAAAAATCCATAAAAGACAAATGAGTTGGGAAAGAAAACACATATTTCATTAGCGATATAAATGATATATTAATGTTCACAAAATATTCAAGTTCATCTCAAATAAAATTTGAATTTGATTCAGTTATTATTGAGTTAAACTTAAATTTAAATAATTTAACTTATTAATCAAATTAAGTTCAAATATTTTTATATCTGATTGAATAGTTTACGAATTTAATCGATTTTTTATATTTTAATATATTTTTATTATTTTAATTAATAAAATATCTTAAATTTAAGCTAAAATTTAAATATAAATAATTAAATTTTTATCAAATATAAGACTCTAATTTTTTATATATTAATCAAATTTAATCAAATAAATTTTAATAATTTAATTTTTATTTTAAATTAAATTTAAATTAAAAAAATTAAAATTCGATCAAATTCGAATAAAATTTTAAATTAAATTTAAACTTAATATTATATCTATTGGAATTCAATTCATTATCTTTTACATTTCCGACAAGTGAGTTTTTTTGGGATCAGGGTTAGAGTAGACAAGATAATTTTGTGGGCTCCAGCATTCCTCCCACCCTCACGTGACAAAGTCACGAGAAAGGCCAAAGCGGGAGTGACGCTGACGCACCGCCCCTCTTCTCCCACCACTGCTCTCAAGCAGCCCGTCCTTTTGGGTCCCTAAAAAATCACCACTAGAACTTTTTTTTTTTTTTATAGAGTAAAATCACCATATCGAGTAATTAAAACCTTTTTTGATTAATTATAACTTAAACATAGTTTAGATCATAGAAAATTAACATAAATCTACAAAAAGAACTATATATCAAGTTTTTTCAATGCATGCATAAAAATAATTTTTAATTAAATAAATAAAAATTTATAATAAAATATAAACATATTGATGTTGGTTTTTGGAGAATATATTTTCACAAAATCCATCAACTAAAATCGATTTCCATTATTTCAATTAACCATTTTGATTTATTTGATAATTTAAATAAGATAAATTAGTTTAATTTTTGAATAAAAATAAAAATATAGGGGAAAAATTAATTGAAGATCCGTGCCACGGGGCAGTTCCTCGCATATTTTTCGCCTACAGTTGCTAACAGACCACGACGTCTACTAACCGTAAAATCGTCAACCCAAAAATCTAACGGCGAATTGACGGCGTTAAAGGGAAAGGACGAAGGGAAGGGGAGAGGGACAAAGAGCCCCACCGCACGCGGGGCGGCAGGCGGTATGGCAGATGAACGGCAGGGGATGGGCGCACGTGAGCAGTTGCCCCCTCTTCCCTGCCTCACGTGCTATACGAACTAGGCTTATAATTAATTTGCCCATTTTACAAAAATTTACAACGAAACTGCCCCTAGGGCTGTAAACGAGCCGAGCCGAGCCGAGTAGTGAGAGGCTCGAGCTCGAGCTCGACTCACAACTCGGGGCTCGATACTCGGCTCGAGCTCGATCGAGTTTTATTTTTCAAGCTCGAGCTCGATTTGTGATCGAATTCGAGCTACTCGAGCTCGCTCGATTAAGCTCGATTAATATGTAAAAATAAGTTCGATTCGTATACTCGACAAAAATTCGATTATTCATGCTCGAATTCGAACTCGAACTCGGACTCGAAATATTTTATTAATTAAAATAATAAAAATATATTTAAATATAAAAGCTCGATTAGGCTCGCGAGCTACTCGAGTCAGATATAATAATACTCGAATTCGGCTCGATCGATAAATCGAGCTACTCGAGCTCGAGCTCGACTCGACAATAATCGAACCGAATTCGAGTTTTTTTCGAATCGAACTCGAGTAGCTTGCGAGTACTAATGTATCACTTACACCCCTAACTGCCCCTCCCAATAAAAAAAAAACACTCAATTTATATCCACTTCTGTAATATTTATTTTTTAATAAAAAATTTATAATCCAAAAAATAAAATTTTAAAATTTAAATCTATTAAATTTAATTTACTTAAAAATATTAAATGAATCTATAAAATTAAACCAAAAGTCTACAACTTTTAATTATTTTTTAATTTCAAATATTATAAAAAAAATTGAAACAATTCAAAATTTAATGAAGATTTTGTGCTTTAAAATTTTTTTCATGTACCATAAATATTATTTGTTTTTTCGTATTTTTAATTACAAAATATTTTTCTAAATTGATGAGATATGAGAAAACGGGATCGCGTAATATAGTGGGTAGATGGGCCCCACAATTGTCGCAGCGTGAGTTGGCCACGTGATTTGTGAGGTTGAGCTTGTGGTAGGCAGACTCTTTTAATCACGTGATGAGATGCGGACTCCACGGCAACAGTGACATCTGTCCTTTCTCCCGACACTTAAAAAAAAAAAAATCCCCCAATTATTAAAGTCGATTAATTAAAGTAAATGAAAGTGTGTTATTATTTATTAATAGAAATTATTATCCAAAGACACAATTATAAAAAAAAAAAAAAGGGGAAAATTTTGTTAACTGATCCCTAAACGGATTCCTGAGCAAAGGAATGAACATGTTACGCGCAAACTGTCACCAAAATCAAAGCTGTTCATTAAAATAATATTTAAGTACCGTCGGATTTGCTATTTCTTTTAAATGATACGAATTTAGTATCGATTAAATTTCGTCATTTTTTATAAAAAATTTTTAACTTTA